CAGCTCTGACGTCCGCTGAACTGAAGCTGAGGTTGAACTGGATTGTCGGAGGGTAGAACCCCGGGAAGCCGCGTTTCTGGGTCACGGACGTACTGATGAGATGCAGGAAATGAGAGAAGCGTTCGGGTTTGAGGGGCTTTTGCAGACTCCCCAGGTGGACGGCAGTCACTGGAAGTGGAGGGAGGGAGAGGAGCGGTCGTGGTCGGCCTGTGAGGACGACCACCCTCCCAGCACCACTTCCCTCAGCTGTAGTCCAAATAGTCCTGCGGAGGAGAACCCTGCTCCCAACTCCCGGCCTCCGGCACCATTATGCCTTGAGGGCATGAAACAGAGCTTTAACTTTATTTATTTTTTATTTTTATTTCTTTAATTTTGAGAGAGTGGTGTAAGGTGGGTACTGTTATCCTGAACTTATCCTTAATTTTTCTTCTTTTGTGTGAGTAAACTATTTGGGATCCTGGCTTAGTAACTACCAGTATCACATGGAGGATTTCAAAATTTTCACATTCTTGTGCTCTTTCTCCATTTAGGGTGTAATAATAATTGTCCTTTTAAGGAAGATGTGATGTGTGTGTGTATATATATACATATACACACAAGAGAATATTACTCAGCCATAAAAAGGAATGAAACAATGCCATTTGCAGCAACATGGATGGACCTAGAGATTATCATACTAAGTGAAGTCAGACAGAGAAAGACAAATACCATATGATATCACTTACATGTGGAATCTAAAAAAAACCAACACAGGTGGGCTTGTATACAAAACAGAAACAGACTCAGGAGCACAAACATCGAGAGCAGACTTAACGTTTATCAAGGGAGAAACGTTGGGGGGAGTGATAAATTGAGAGTTTGGTATTGACATATACACACTGCTGTTTGTAGAATAGATGGTCCATGTGGACCTACTGTATAGCACAGGGAAATCTACTCAGTATTCTGCAATAACCTAAATGGGAAAAGAATCTGAAAAAGAATGGATATATATATATATATGTATAACTGAATCATTTGGCTGTACACCTGAAGCTGACACAACACTGTGAATCAATTATACTCCAATATAAAATAAAAATTAAATTAATAAAAAATGAATGGGAAAAATTTTTAAAAAGAAAACAGCAACAATAATAAAGATCCACACGCCAAAAAAAAAAAAAAATCATCATCCTTTAGAGAATTAGCTGGAGTGAAGGTACCTTGGCACAAATTTTTTAAAGACAAAAGTAAATGGACTGTTTTTGACACATTGTCATGTTCCTGGTTAGACACCAATTTGAATGGGCTTGTGCTGCCCAAAGACAGAACAACTTACCATAATTGCAATGGATTTAAACACCTCAAATATCTTATACCCACGAACCTGGAAGATGCTGGCACACTGACTTGTGATTTCTATGACTGGTAAATAAAGGGAAAAAAGATCAAACATTTATCCTGCCTTTACTATGTGAACAGTCCCTTGGGTGCCTAAATCATTGAGGAGGGGACGTTTTCTTCATAGTTTTGCTAGAATGAAAATATCCTCGTTTTACATCCCGTCGTGAATGAATGGATTTGGTCATTGGGCATGCATCACAAAATTTTTGTGATGCAACTTAGAATAAGACGCAAGGGCCCTTCATGCCCTAAAAGGCGTCTCAGTGTTAATCCCACCCCCCTCTTTATGTGGGGCCACTTGCCCCAGCTCATCTTGACAATCACATCACAACCACACTGGCCTCTGTGTGCACAGAGAGCCCTTGCATTTTCACTCTGTCTGACTGGCACGTTCCATCCCCCAAGACCCCTGGGCCTTCCTCAGATCCTCTCCACTGAAGATCTGGAGGTCTAACCCAGGTCAGAATTTCAGGCCTCTGGTCTTCAGTACCGCTGGTGACATGTCCACGCCTGCTGGGTTCTGTGTTTCTGGGTCAGACTTGGGAGCAGCATCAAGCATTTCTGTGCACAGACCACAGCTCTCAGCATCCCTGTACCCCTGTTCTGTATCACAGTCAGGAACCCTGCTGTGATACTTGGGGGTGGGGGAGCTCTTTGGGTACCAGGCAGCAAATCCCAACAATCTGGGAACCCCACCCTCTCCAACATCTCTCACCTCCATTAACAATTCAGAAAGTTTCCCAAATGTTCCCTTCCCTGCATTGACCTTTTTCAATCTTTTCCTTCCACATCACTCCTGATTACTGGATATGATCCCTGGATTTGCAAGTTTTCCCTTCTTAGGGAATCACAATGACCCCAGCTGTCTAATGGGGTCCCGGAATGATGAGGTCTTTGGGACCCAAGAATTCATTCAGTCGTGCATTCGTCTATACATCCATTTACTCAACTCTGTTATCAGTGTATATCAGACCCAGAAAATGAGATGAAGAGGTCCTTCCCACTGAGAATTTATGGATTAGTAGAGGAGAGAGACTTGCAAACTAAGTTCAGAGCTGCGCAGCAGGTGCTAAATATAGTTAGGAAAACACGATGTTTGCACATAGCAGGAAGTTATTAACTGCATAAAGAGGTCAAGGAAGTCTTGCCCAAGGAGTGACAGTGGAGATAACTGCGGACCCCAGAGTCGGTGCAGCCAGCTGGGGGTCATGGCAAAGGGACAGGAAGTCCACTGGCAAGTAGATGGCTTGGGCAGAGGTTTGGAAGCAACCGAGAGCATCAGCAGAAACAGATGGTGAGGGCAGCGCACAAGAAATGGGACTTGGGACAGAATCTGGGCCAGTCTCCAAAGGCTGTGTCACAACATGGAGTCAATTTTACCCCTTCAACCGTACTGTCCTGTCACAGCCAAGGCAACTGTGGACCACTTGGAATGTGGCCGGTCCAAATTGAGATGAGCCCCAAGTATAAAATACACACTGGGTTTTGAAGATTTAGTATGAAAAAAGAGTTAACCATCTCATAACTAATTGTACTTTGCATGTTTAAATGATAATATTTGAAATGCATTGGTTTAAATAAAATATGCTATTAAACATCATTTCATCTGTTTCTTTTTATCTTTTTTTTAAAAAATGTAGCCACCAGAAAATTGGAAACGGCAGATGTGGCTTGCATCCGTACCTTTGAGGGTGGGAGACAATCGAGGCTAGAGTGGAGGAGTGCAGGCAAGGCTGGATCTGGGAGTAATAAAGATGAGGAATGGAGGATCCAGGCTGCAGCAGGATGATGGGCAGGAGGTCAGATTTTGGCCGGGTAAGAAATGACTCAGACTAAAGGAAAGGTTTAGACAAGGGGGAGGCCAGGCCTGGTGACCGATGAGGAAATGATACCACTACTTTGTTGAGTACGTGTTACAGTCAAGTGCAGGTTAAGCATTTTATAGAAATTAATTGGTGCTATTATTGTCCTCTTTACCAACAACACTGGAAATGTTGGCCTAGCATCCAAATGACCCTTCTGAGGCTGACCAGAGCTAAGACTCATGCTCTGCCTGGCCCGAGGCCCGGGTCCAAGGTCCCATCCTCCAGGAATACGGTGGGGCAGGCGTGCTGGGATGATGGAGGAGCTGACCTGACTCCCTGCTCTCTGGGTTTCTTGTCGTGGCTTGGAATCCCAGAATCACAAAGGATGAAAGCAAGGGAAGAACAGGTTACAAGCAGGTGACAGAGTTCTTTGGGGACCACCTAGATGGCCTTTGGAAACCTGGGCCTGGAGGCCCCTGCCAGGAGACAAAGGCTCCATGCAGGAAGAACTCAGTGCATTTCAGAGAGGAAGCCCAAAGGGTGCTGAGAACTGGCGGGAGCTGAGACCATTGTTTACAGGCGTCGCAGGCCACATATGGAAGGGCTGATATTGACATGAATGTACCCTTCGGGGTCTTTTCAGCCATGATAAATGGACATTCTCAGCCAAGTTTGGATCACAGGGGAGATGGTTTGCCTGGCACCTCTCTGAGTGGGACGCATGTCCACATGTGGTGTGGACGTGGGTGTACAGGGTCCCTCTCTGCAGGGCACACACTGACTCACCACCCAGGGGCTCAGGGTGCAGATGTGGGCCAGGATAGCAGGAACCCACTGTTCCTTCTTTACCCAACAAGTTCATCGGCAAGGCCATGCACACGCCTTGTATCCCTCCTGCCCCCAGGTCTTCCAAGGGTCCAGAGGGTTATTATCCTGGAGTCCTCAGGCAGGAGGAGTGACCTTGATCACCCCACCGAGTGTGGTTTGGCTGAAACCTAGAGGCAGGAACTGGGTGTTTCTCTGGAGCAGGGGTCAGCAAAGTATGACCTGAGTGCCACATCCAGCCCAGCCCTGTCTGTTTCTGTAAATAAAGTTTAATAGGAAACAGCCATGCCCGCGTGTTCACATATTGTCTGTGGATGCTTTTGAGCCATAAGGACAGAAATGAGTAGTTGCCACAAAGATCATATGGCCCAGAAAGCCAAAAATATTTACTACATGGCTCTTTACGGAAAATATTTGCCAGCCCTGCCGCTTTCCTGCACAGAAGAGGAAACGCCTTTCTCTCTCCTAGACCCGTGTTTCTCAGGTGGGGTGGTTTTGCCACCTTGGGGGCCTTTGGTGATGCCTGGAGACATTTTTGGTTGTCATAACGAGGGGCAGGAGGTTGTTTGGTGGGTATAGGCCAGGGATGCTGCTCGACATTCTGCAGTGCACAGGACAGTCCCTCTACAACAAAGAGCCATCTGGCCCAGTGGAGGACCTAGACCACCCCTATCACTGGGCACTGCTCTCCTCCCCAGAGGCCCAGTGAAGGCATTTTCTAAGCTGCTTACCCTGTGCACAATCAGGTGATAATAGGGGGTCCTGTCCCTGGCAGGGGCATCCCCCAAGATGCTATGGCAGCCCCCTGCCTCCCAGGACCCACAAGACCAGGGGCTCCGGCCAAGCAGACCGTGACCGGCCAGGTCTCCTGAGACCTTCACTCTGGTTGGGTCTTGGGTGCATCCCACTCATTCTGACTGTTTGCAGAACATCTGGGGCCTCCCTGGAACAAATTCAGACCACCCAGCAAAACAAATTCCCAAGACACAAGCAGATTTAATTCCCAAATCCAGCCTCCAAAGGGGTTTCCAGGAGCGTCTCCTCACCTGGGGCAGCCCAAGGCCCCACCCTCCTCGCCACACCACCCTCTCCTCGGGGAGGCGTGCCCTTCTGCCTTTGGTTCAAGGTAAGCGTGTCCTATGGTGCCTGTGAGGCTGGAGCAGCAGGCTCCCTTTCCTCCCTCCTCTCTCTCTGCATCTCCGGCCCCTGCTCCACGCCCTGGGCCCCCACGGCGCAGAAATACACAGCCTCATCCTCCGGCTGAAGATCAGAGATGCTCAAATACCCTGCGTTCTTAGCCAGGTCTTTGGAGCCAGAGAAGCGAGGGGGGACCTTGGGGCCCTGGTTCTTGTCCGAGTGGGAGAAGTATCTCAGCAGGAACCTTGGTGGGTGGCCGGCCCTCTGCTGGTACCAGTAGATGTTGTGGACACCGACATCATGGTCGCTGCTCAGCGTGCAGGCCAGGCGGATCGTGGTTCCAAGGGACGAGGACACGGATGGCGGCTGATTCAGCACCGGCTGAGGGCCACAAGCTGGGGACACAGAAGCATGTGGGCATCCAGGGCAAAGCAGGGCAAGGGAAGGGGCCAGGGGCCTTGAGCTCTGGGGGTTCTCACCTGTGCAGTGGGCCAGGAGCGCCAGCAGGACAGGGGTCCAGGACATGGTGCAGCCGAGCAGAGCTCTGCCTCCAGTGTGCACTGGGGCCCCGGGCCCTCGCGGGGCTGTGCCAGCACCCTCTTCCGCCCTCCCAGGGGTGGGGCCGTTGCACGCCCAGTTCCCAGTGGCCGTCCCAGACTTCTTGGGTTTGCATTGTCGGTTAGGGGGACGGCCCCGTGGTGGCCTTTGCAGCTCCTGCCTTGGCCCCATGGAAGCGTTTAGGGAGGAAGCACCTGCTTGGAGCTCACGGGCCAGTGCCCAGGAGGCCAGGCTTGAGTCCCTGAGGGGGTAACTTCAACATCCCCCTGAAGAAGATGAGCCCCACAGAATAAGGTTCTTGTGCACATTTATGTGCCTGGTGAACCAGGAAGAGAGGACAGGTACTCAGGGTGGAAAATACCTGCTTAGTGCTGCAGAAAGTGTAAGGGGCCCTGGGGGTGAGGGGGCCACTCTGTCCACTCCCATGTCCCTAGCACGACCTCCACCCAAACCCAGCCCCTTTCCTCCTGGAGTAAAGCTGGAGTGACTAGCAGCTTCCTAGAAGGGAGCATCTTGGGGGGGTGGGGCCAGGGCAGGTGGAAATGGAGATAGAGTACACTTACCCACTTCAGCCCTGCCCTGGCCCTCTGCCCCCTCCTCATCATGATGATCTCCCCAGGGATCGGGGGAGGAGGCGTAAGTGAGCTCAGTGATCATGGGGGCCCACTCCTTGGCCAGACCTGCACTGCATCCTCAGGTCCATAAATAAGACGCTGTGTGGGGAACAAGGGGTTGTACAGAAAAGAACTGGCTGCTCTTTGTCCCTGGCACTTGGAAGGGAGTCTCTCTAAATCCCTGGGATTTCCCGAGTGATAGGAGTGTCTTAGTTATTCATCGGGGACCCTGAGTTTATGCTAATGGGTGATTCAGGATGGGGGCTGGCCATGAAGAAAGCCCCACCGTGTGATTCAAAGATTAGGGCTTTAGGCCATGAGATACCAGCACAATCCCCAGGGTGGGGAGGGGGGCCCGAGGCTGAGTCCAAGCACAGAGCCAGTGGTCCCAGCAATTGTCCTGAGTAATGAAACCCCAGTGGAAACTGTGGACACAGAGGTTCAGAGGAACCTCCCAGGCTGGTGCACTGTGGGCGTGCAGGAGGGCAATGCATCCTGAGGACACAGCAGCCCCACATCTGGGACCCCCATCGCCCCTCATGCATCTCTTCATTCGACTGCTTCTGGTTTGTAGCCTTTACAACAAAACTGGAATCATAAGGATGGAGCTTTCTTGAGTTCTGTATTTCTACCAAGTCATTCAGCCTGAGGGGGTTTGAGGACCCCCCAAATCTGTGGCCAATTGGTCAGAAATACAGGTGGCCTGGGACTATCTGAGCTTGCAATCTGAAATGAGCAGTGTTATTTTTGGGGGGGAGGGGGCTGTGCCCTTAACTTGTGACAGTTTACCTAACTCCATGTAGCTGATGTCAGAATTGCATTGCAAAGGCACTCAGCACTGTCTGCTCCCCATTCTCCAGCTCACTAAGCAGGCACTTTGGCCCAGTTATGGACTGGATTGTGTTCCCCCAAATCCATATGTTGAAGCCCTAACCCCCAATGTGACTCTATTTGAAGGCAGAGCCTTTAAGGGAGTAATTAAGGTTAAATGAAGTCATAAGAGTTGGGCCCTAATCCTATATGACTAGTGTCGTTATAAGAAGAGAAAGAGACACCAGAGCTCACTCTGTCTGTCTGTCTGTCTGTTAACCTATTATCTAGCTACCTAACTATCCATCTATCATCTATTAATATATCTGTATCTCTTATCTAATTTTTATTTTTTAATCTTACTTTATTTTTTAAAATATTTATTTATTTATTTGGCTGCCCTGGTCTTAGTTGCTGCATGTGGGATCTAGTTCCCTGATCAGGGATCAAACCAGGGCCCCCTTCATTGGGAACGTGGAGTCCTAACCACTAGACCACCAGGGACTTCCCATATCTATCTATCTATCTATCTATCTCTGCACATACACGAAAAGGCCACGTATGTGAGGACACAGCAAGAAGGCAGTCATCTACAAGCCAGGAAGAGTGGGCTCACCAGAAACCCACCCTAAAGACACCTTGATCTTGGACCTCTCGCCTCCAGACTGTGAGAAATGAATTTCTGTTGTGTTAAGCCCCCCAGTCGGTGCGACATCGTTACGGAAGCCCCAACAGGCTAACACAGGCCCAACATTCTTTCCTATAACTCCACTCCTATATTTCTCCATAGGCACTTAGGAGGCATCCATACGGACCCGGAAACAGAGGAAGCGCACAAACAGAAACCAAGCCACTGAGGGAAACAAAGTTTTCTCTGCATAAAGGGGCGTGAGCCCAAAATCCTGGGGGAAATCATTGTTTCCCCATCTGTTCAACACATATCCACCCTGCTCCTGCTCTGCCAGGCACTGCAGATGCCACGGCAGATGTGAGGGCAAGATCCTTGTCCTCACAGGGCCTACACTCTCTTGGAGAGTCAGGCTGGTGGACCTGTTGGAGAGGCAACGGGCCTGAAGGTGACACTGTACTGCAGTCCCCGAGCCTGGGCCTGCGATGTCCCCCGTCATCCTGTAAAGCCCTGTCCTTTTCCGGCCACCATCTTGGCAGACTGCTGACAGATGCTCCACGTCCCCCAGAATCCTAACCGTTGAGGGAAAAGGAGTTGATTTCTAGCGTTCCCCAGAGATAAGGATTGAAAGGAAATGTTAGCTGGGCTCAAGGAAGAGGTGAGACTGCATCTTACTTCTCATCAGCCAGCGGATCAGTCAGCATCTTGCAGGAAACAGGACACAGCCATTGGAGGGTGTTAAGGGTTGAATTGTGTTCCCCCAAAATTAATGTAGAAGTTCTAACCACCCCCCTCAGTACCCCAGAGTGTGACCTTCCTGTGAAATAGGATCTTCACTGAGGTAATTAAGTTAAAGTGAAGTCATTAGGGTGGGCCCTAATGCAACAAGACTGGAGTCCTTACAAGAAGGGGAAATTTGTGACTTCCCCGGCAGTCCAGTGGTTGGGACTCCGCTCTTTCACTGCCTAGGGTATGGGGGTTTTTTTGTTTTGTTTTGTTTGGTTTTGGTTTTTATTTCACTTATTTATTTTTGGCTGCATTGGGTCCTCGCCACTATGCCTGGGCTCTCTCTAGTTGTGGCGAGCAGGGGTCACTCTTAGTTGCGGTGCGCGGGCTACTCATTGTGGTGTCTTCTCTTGTTGTGGAGCACGGGGTCTAGTCATGCGGGCTTCAGTAGCTGTGGCACATGGGCTCAGTAGTTGTGGCACACGGGCCTACTTGCTCCAAGGCACGTGGGATCTTTCTGGACCAGGGCTCAAACCTGTGTCCCCTGCATTGGCAGGTGGATTCTTAACCACTGCACAACCAGGGAAGGCCAAGGGCCTGGGTTTGATCCCTGGTCGGGAAACTGAGATCCCACAAGTCATACGGCTTGGCCAAAAACATAAATAAATAAAAAATAAAAAGAAGGGGAAATGTGGGCACAGAGACAGACACTCAGAGAGGGAGACCGTCTGAAGTGACAGAGAGAGAAGACAGAGATCCCTTGAACAGATCCATCCCTCACAGCCCTCAGAAGGAACCAACCCTGCCCACACCTTGATCCTGGACTTCCAGCCTCCAGGGCTTTGAGGCAATAAATTTCTGTTGTTTAAGCCACCCCGTCTGTGACAACTTGTTGCTGCAGCCCTAGCAAACGAATCCAGAGACTGTTCCAAGATGGCCCCACAAGGCCCCTTGTCATACGGGCTTGTCCTCTCACCAGAAGCTGGAGTCTATGTTTCCTCCCCTTGGCTCTGCACAGGCCTGTGACTATGGCTGAAGTGACCCGTGCGAACTGGGTGGCCCTGAGCAGCTGGGTACGCACTGGGGCTCCTGTCTCACAAACACAGAATGGAGCAAACATGCCTCCGGCTCCCATGAGCCCCTGTGTGGCCTCAAGCTGCTCTACATCCAATCTCCTGGTCCTCTCAGAACTAGCCTCCTTCCTTTGGTGCTAACTTCAATGTCACCTCCTCTGTAGTCTTACCTGACTGCCCCATCTTGCTCTACTACTTTCATTTTTGAAATGAAATTACACACTACTTTCATTTTTGTCAAAGCGTTTATCCAGGTTTATCCGTGTGCATCTGTGCGAGGACCACAATCTGTGCGAGGACAAGGACCGTTTCTCTGTATTCATCACTGAATGTACAACACTTAGGTAATACAGTTCCCCTATAGATTCACTATTGTGTAACAACGTGAATGAATAGATGAATGGTGCTTCTCTCGTGGGGGTGACGGCCCACACAGCAGCTGGTGGGCACACAGGGGCTGGGCAGCAAGTGGCACCCATGAGCGGCTCATGCTCTTCAGCCTCTCGCTCTGGGTGACCAGCTGGAAATTCTAACACAGCCAATTGTGTTCCTGAGCCCCACTGAATGCATGTCACCCACGTTGAGGCCCCAGTCCATTGAGAGGGGACCAGACTCACGACAGCTGCCCTGCCTCTAACTAGAACCACTAAAAATCTACCTTCTGCCCCTGCTGAAATGACACAGGACTATACCATCAACCAAACATCTTCCTAAGAGTAGAAGTGACCCACAGCTGAGCCCCAAGTGTGTCAGGGTGGAGGAAGTGGGGTTAGAAGGGCAGAGGGGTCCCCCCTCCCGTCTGACATGTGGGGGCAGGGAAGGGACGGGAGGAATGTTCTCTTAGTGTAAAATCATGGGGGGGGGGCATGCTTTGTTTCACTTTTTTTTGGAAAAAGTACCAACTACCAGGCAAAGACCAGGTCGAGAGGAAACAGCAGGGGAAGGATTTTACAATAAATGGATCGACATTTGCATGGATCTACATTTGTAAGCAGTCATTTTCCATCATAAAATAAATAAAATGAGGTAGTTTCTCATTTCAAATCAGTGAACAATGAATTATCGAAGTAAAAATAGGTCAGTGCTTCCTTTTTAAGACTTTTCCACTTTGCCTTTTAAACAATCATCATTAGAGATATGTTTGTCTGTTGTATGTCCACACTGTAGATGAATAAACAAAT